CTTAAAAGAGTATAAGTGAAAGAAGAAAGCTGAGTATAAGCTAAACTCTCAGCAGCATAAGAACCAAAAGCAGTGAATGTGTGTGTGTGGGGGGGGTTCCGGTCAAGATGGTGGTGTAGGTGAATGCAGTTCTTGAATCCTTCCACAGCTACATCAAAATTACAACCAAACTACAGAACCACCATCGTTCAGAACCGCCTGAAATGTAGCTGAACAGAATTCCTACAACTAAGAACATAAAGAAGCCACATCAAGACTGGTAGGAAGGGTGGAGATGGGAACCTGGCCAGTCCCACACCCATGTGTGGTGGTTAAAAATTGGGAAGGATATCTCAGCTGCAGTGGTCCCCCCTGAGGAGCAGGGGTCTCAGCCTCACACCAGGACACCAGCCTAGGGTTCCAGTGCCAGAAAGAGAAGGACGCATCACTTCTGGCAGTAAAACCCAGTGGGAATTATAGCGGGTGAGATGGAGGGCTGCTGGAGTTCCATGTGTTCCTCCTAAGGGGCCTGCACACAGACTTACTACTTTAGAAAAATGTATAATGTATTCTACTACAGATGTCAGTAGATGCCAAATGGCATTCCATATAGATTCCTGATTTTAGAAACCAACAGACAAGCAAAAATGGAAATAGCTGTTCCAGATTAAAACTATATATGGTCAAATCAGGAAACTGGAAGGATCCCACTCTCATTACTGTTGGTTAACAGTGCATCAAACCAGGGATTCCGGAACGATGAGACAAAACGAGAATAGAGCTAGAAAGAAGTATTAAGTGCTATTGTGAACATAACACAATTACATACTAGAAAACTAGTGAAAATCAACTTTACAAAGTTCTAAAATTAATGTTTACTTTAACGTAAAGTAAAAGATAAATATGCTAAAATAGCTTTTTTTCCCAATCAGCAAAAAAATTTGGGAGGAATGATTCCATTTGCTCTTGAAACAAGAAATATAAACTAATTCTAGTAGAAACTTTGTAGGGCTCATTGGACAAAATTATGTCTCAACTTTCCTTTTTCTTTCTCATGAGTGACCAAGAGAGATTCTTATGGGAGATTTGAAGAGTGAAGTGCAGCAGCAGCCGTTTGTAGCTTGTACACATCTCACTGACCTACAGTTTCACCTCTTGGAGTGATGATATATCCAGCCTGCAACACTTCGCCTTCCCCTGGATCTTCCTCCAGTAGCTCTGACTCTTGGGCCAGGTATGTCTTTGACCTCATGACCAAAGGCAGACACCCACAACACACCACAAAGGGCAGAGGTGATAAGAACCGGAACTCGGTTTACTCCCTCCCTGTGGGGCCCAGTTAGAGCTTGTGGTTCCACCTTGTCCTTACTCTTCCAACTTTACCTCCATTTTTCTTTCCCAATGGCTTGCCTGCTGAACTTCAAACTCCAGCATCAGATGCAAAGAATGCAGTCTTGCAGACACTGCTTAACCAGCTCCTACAATTGCATAAGATCCAATCTGTGTGTCTATCTCCTAGTGGTCCTGCTTCTCTGATTGAACTGTGGCTGATATAAAGTGTCCAACTGAAAAGCGATGGAAGGAAAGGACTTTTAAAAAAAATAGCAATGGAAGCAATCACAAAATCTGTTAAGTATGATCATACACAAATTAAAACTTCTAAATATTAAAAATACATTTAAAGGCAATCGAAAAATATAGTTTACCCTAGCTGGTTTGGCTCAGTGGTTAGAGCGTCATCCTGGGGACTGAAGGGTCACAGGTTCAATTTCGGTCAAGGGCATGTACTTTGGTTGCAGACTTGATCCCCAGGCCAAGTCGGAGCAGGTGCCAGAGGCAACTAACAGATGTTTCTCTGTGTCTTTCCCCCTCCCTTCCATTCTCTCTAAAAAATCAATGGAAAAATATATCCTTGAGTGAGGATTAATAACACCCCCGCCAAAAAAAACCATAAAGGTTTAATGTCTTGATATGTCAAGATTTCTATGAATAAATTCTTCACTTACAGCTGAAAATGGAGAAAAATATGAACAGGTGTGTTAAAAAATTATAATTGCCCATTAGACATATAAAATCAATACAGAATATTGATTTTATTTAAATAAATGCAATTCAAATAAAAATTGCCTGCATAATCTACCAACTATAATTTACTAAACTGTTAAAAATCAAAGTCTCTGATAGTGATAAAGTAAGTTAATATATGGTTTTCAAGTCAGTTTGGCCAGACATATCAGGAGAACTGTTAATTTCACTTCTAGGACTTTAACCTCAGAGCACAATTATTATTATTAATTTCACTTCTGGAAATTACTGAGAATTACTCATTTCACTTCTAGAACTCTAAGAACACAATGAACTTTGGGGTAATTACTAATAGATATATAGATGTTCAACACAGTGTTATCCATACTAAATAAACCACTGCATAATTATTTGTGAATAGGAAACTGGCTAACTGTATCATGATACATTTATAAGATAGAGCCATTAAGTCTCCATTAAAAATTACATACTTGAACAAGGTACTGGCCATCATATGTGGGGAAAAATGGCCTACAAAACTTTGTAAAGTATGTTTCATTAAAAATTATAAATTAAATATAAAAATAGTAAAATAAAGGACTCAAGAAAAATACATCAAAATGTAAGTGGTGAATATGTAGGGGATTATGGAATTTTTCATTTTCTTACTCTTTATGCTTTTCTGTATTTAAATTTTCTGTATTTTTATAATCATGAGATAAAATGTATGATTTGGTGTAAAACCTGCCTTGTTCGGTGTGGCTCAGTGGTTGCACATTGTCCTGAGCACCAAAAGGTCACCAGTTTGATTCCTGTTCAAGGCACATGCCTAGGTTGAGGGCTTGATCCCTGGTGGGGGGGCCTGTGAGAGTCGGCCACACAGTTTCCCTCTCACATCGATGTTCCTCTCTCCTTCTCCCTCTAAAATCAGTAATATATATAATGTTACAAATTCAAGTCAATGGATACAGAATTTTTTAATGTGAAGAACAGAAATAAGACATGGCAGACCGATGAACAAAATTCAGCCTTTCAGGAGGGAATGATGTCTGATTTTTGGAGCGGAGGTGGCAGTGTGAAATGGACCCTTTTACTGAGTGTTTACCCTGTGCCAAGCACTCACTCAAAGAGGAAAAGAAAGGCAGGAGGGGGAGAAGAGAAAGGAGGGTGGGGAGAGGAGTCCATCGAGGATAAGGAGGGGAAGGGTGAGGAGGGGAAGAGTCGTAGCTAATACGTATTGAGTGCAGGCCCTGTGTGAATTGCTTCATGTGAATTGTTTTATTTAATCGTATTAACCTACAAAATAGGTACTGGAAAGTCTTTACTGAGGTTAGATAACTTACCCAAGAGCACAAAATTTATAACTGGCAAAGGATTCAAACCTAGTTCTTAACCACTAAGTTATTAATGATTAGGAGCCACTGCTTAGATAGTGGGTGCAAAAGGGAAGAAAAAGATGGTTTCGTGTCTGACAGAATCGGCAGTGATAAGAAATATGAATATGAGTGGAGTAAAAAGAGTAGAATAGCCCTTTGTTTTTGGCATTTGTGAAAGCACTATCCAAGACAATCTAAGTAAAATAAAAGGGACACTTAGATTACACTAAGTCAATTTCACATGACAAAGGAACTGACCGCTGATGGTCAGCACAACGCTTGAAAGACAAGGCGGCATTCGCAGTCCTCCCTTGGGCTCCATTCTCACTTCCGGGAAAGTGAAGTGAGACATGGGCGATAACATACACTTTCTTTTTGAAAATCAAGTTGATTTTCAATTTGGTAACTTTAGGAATGTCGGTGTTTGCCTCGATTTGATAAAGTTTAGCAATGGGAAATAGCTCTAACCAATCAATATTTCCTTACATTCATACACTGAAGGAAACCTTTCAGGACCCAGCAGCATGTTTTAGTCATGCCAGGTTCAATTCACTTTCAGAGAGATGCAGTCTGGCTGGTGATAGTGCCAAGTCAGTGCTTTCTTCTTCTGGATACACACCTGATTAAAGGCTGCGGGATCAAAGAGCAAACCACTTACAGCAAAGTGCTTCGGACCCAAAAGCTCATCTGTGAGTGGAATTACTTAAAACTATTTTAAAGGGTCATCACAAAGAGGGTGCTTATTTTTAGAAATGAGTTTTCTTTTGATACAAGGAAAAATGTTGTCCATTTCTCTTATGTTTATAACAACATTCCAATTTAATCTTCAGTTTAAAAATTCTTTAATTATTGCACAACAGTGTTTTGTTGATTGCACAACACCCACATCTCTGTTTGATACTAAAAATCTAGACTTTTCTGATTGTGTGCCCATGTACATACATTTTCCTTTATGGTAATAATATACATTAAAGCTATGGTTTACAATTTTAATTCTGCTCTCAGGGGAAAGCTATAAACATTCATGAATGATTGAAAGAAAAATCCTCTTATAAAAACTGTATTTTTACCAATTTCATTTTGACTTACCCAAATCTTTTTCTAGTAATAGCAGTGGAGCTGGAAAGAAGCATGGTATGGTGCAGGTCTCTGCTCCAAAACTTTATTCTTTGGAATCCCATGTCCCTATTCTCCACCACTCAGGGTCACTGACATGTATATACACACAGGCCTTCAAGTACAAGTCACCAATAGGTGTTGGAATTATTCTTAAGGTAATGATTAGAATCTCTTACAGAAAGGCCTTTCAATCTAAATTCCCTTGGTTGGTTATCATGACCATCACTGAAAAATCTGGAAGAATATATGCCAAAACACACAACCACATGTTTTTTTGTCCAGTTGGACAAAAGAATCCAGCATAATTATTCTTGAATTAAAATCAAAAGCAAGTTTATAAGAGATCGATGTTCTTTTAAATACTGAGACTCATCTAGTATTCAGCTGATAACAATCATTGTATTTACTTCCCTTTTGTTTATAGTGAAATTAAATGTGGAAAGACAAAAAAAGTCTTACCAATTTAAATAAATTATGTGGGGGAAAAACACTGCATACCACTTTATATCTTTACATGCCTTCAGCATTTCTATTTTGAAGAAATGTATTGTTCCAATGTAGTAGAACTTTAATTTTACTTGTCTTACATTGTTTTATAAAATTTAAGAGTGAACTTTTAAAAACAAGCAAGCAAACAAACAAAACACAAAAGAAGTTTGTCTGCTCCTAGAAGACAGAACCAAAAAAACATTGGGTAAATTTAAAAAAACACACACACATTAGTTTTGCTTCTCTACAATTTAGTCATTATAGTAGAATATAAGTTTCAAACACACAAAACCTCGAGTCTCCTGGTGCATCTTGTGTTACCATCTCTTATTCCACTGGAATTCCTATGTTGGAGGAGTGTTCTTAGGATAATTTAGCTGAAAGAAAAAAAACGAAAGCTACAGTTCTTCCTTGCTGTCTACTCAAATAACCAGAGATACCAAAGGGAGTTTTTCCAGTTTTCCTCAGATGCTCTAGAAGGAAGCAATCTGTTTCGGTAACTTTTTTAACTTGATGAATGCTGTTTCACCTAAACGTTCATTCTGTTTTCTAAGAGAATGTAACAGCTTCGAAAAGAAATAATATTGTTAGTACAGGACTATATATATGTACTTTTTAGTCAACTGTTGTTCCCAGAGTTGAGTCACACTGATGGTCAGACAAGAAAAGGTTGCCAGATGGTCAAATGGTAAACCTGAAGAATTATGTACTACTTCACCGTAAGGTTGTTTTGAGACTCACTTGAAATGATGTAAATGATTACAGGTGAATGTTAAGAAAAAGTGGAAATACAAAGCAAACAAGAGGCATTATTACTGCTTGTTAGTGAAACCTCATTTGAGTCCTACAAGTCTTCAAAGAACAAGGCCCCAAGTCCCAAGGCAAGGAGTTCCAGCTAGATAACCAAGAACATTCTCTATTTGTGTCATCTATTAAAACATGAGTCATACTGATCATGTAGAGCTCTGGACCATTTTTGAATCAATGAGACCATCCATCTCGACCCAATAGTTTCTAGGACTGGTTATACCAACTCACCACAAAAAATTTAATTTTTTAAGTAAAAATAACAAAAGTTCCAATACTCATTTGTCCCAATCCGTGTAGTGTTCAGTGACTGCAGCACGTATGGGACCAACGTACTGACCTTTGGATATACAAAGATGAAGCTCCTGGTCTGCCATTATGGGATTCATGCTTTAAGCTTTGTTTTGAAGAGTTGGGATGATTTTAAGCTGATCTATGTGCACTCTTTTCTGGTCTCCCTCATGTCCAATGGCATGCACTTATGAAACAGCTGGCAAAGGTTCAAGGTGCAAATCTGTGGCTAGGAGTGGAGACACACTAATTGGTTTATTCACAGATGGACCAAGCTCTGACCTGATTAGCCAACTGAACAAAGGCACAGCTAATCATGTGCCTCTCTACACACACCATGTCTTTAAAATGAAGTGAAAAGCTGCATACTCCCTAGAAGAAGCCAGAGGGAATCATAGCAATGTTGTCTCTGCTAGACTGCTGCTTTTAATATTCCCCAAACATCACCTATGGACCTGAATGAACAAATGAGTAATGAAAGAGTGGATCTCTCTTAGTATCTACTAGTATGCCTATTGTTTAGGGAGTACAAAGCTGAACAAATCATGGTTACTATGCCTAAAGGGCAATGTAGAAAGCAAGACAAAAATAAATGCAATCCTATGCTATTTTATTCCCCGCAGGAAAGCTGTCAGATGTCAAGTCCTGACAAGGAGTATCTTTCTGTGATCTAATTTTTCTTCCCATGCTATCCTGCACATCAGCCGTGCATCTGGTCCTCACATAGCTGCTGTCTAGCACTCATCATATGGGATCTTAGCTGTATACCAATAAGCAATCAGACTTACCTCTATACACACACAAATATACTTAGCTTATTTACCTGGAATTGTGCCTAAGTGCCCAAGCTGTTTGCCAGTTCAAAATGTCAACTTCTCACGGCTCAATTGTCTTCACAACACTTAAAAACAAAATTAATCAATCTGGCACTGTTCTCCCAATCTCATCAGAAGAAACAGAGTCAGCACGAGAGTCACAGTTTTAGGACCAAAATAGGAGATGGCTTTAGATTAATGTTATTTCTTACAGATTCTAACAGTCAAACAGTTTATTAAATCCATGAGATGAAAAATTAACAAAACATAATAGTGTTTGTGCTACCTCTCCAGGAAGTTAACACTTTTCCAGAGGATGGTCTGATCTCTGAGAGAATTAAAAAATGCAGGGGAACAAATTATGCATGGAAAACACACAAAACAGTGTAATGGCAGGCTATTTTCTAAGCCTAATTAATGACTCATTGTAAGTTTTAAACATTTCGCTCCAGCAGATGGTTTGGCCCTGACCTTGATTACTTTTCTTACTGATGGTCCTTATTGCTCAGTATTTTAAGGACATTTACTACTGAGGCAAATATGATTTCAGATTTCAGTTGTTCCTGTGGTAACAGTGGAACTAGAACCAAACTGTTTACTTCCCAGTTGACCTCTTCAAGATGCTTGAGGGTATTTGATTATACCCGTATCCCTTCCTTTGTCTCTACATCCACCAGATGGAAAACAAGAGTGGTCATATGTGGAGATCAACAGTAGGCTGGCAAACAACAAAGTTCAAAATACTGTGAATTTGGAAGTCAATAATTTTGTATCCTGTCCAGCTGTCTTCCTGACCACTGGAAGTAAAAATGAAGGAAAACATCTGAAATCATTGGTATACATATTTGCCTTTCTATTTTTACTGCCACCATTACCAAGAACCAAAGAGAAAATCAAACCACTTCTGTGTAAAGGAGACTCAATCAAGACTTTATATACATCTTAAATACCTCAGGTGTGCAGTAAACTCTGTGTGTATATGTTTAAAATATTCAAAGAGGCATTTATAAAATTCAGCTTATGCCCTGGCTGGGTGGCTCAGTTGTTTGGAGCTTTGTCCCATACACCAAAAGGTTACAGGTTTAATTCCCTGTCAGGGCACATACCTAGGTTGTGGGTTTGATCCCGGGCTGGGGTGCGTACAGGAGGCAGCTGATTGATGTTTCTCTCTCTAAAATCAATAACAACATATCCTCGAGTGAGGATTAAAAAAATTTCAGCGTCTACAATTTAGTCTCTGTAGCTGCCTAGTGAATGATAAGGCGCCACTTTAACTAAGAAATTAAAAAACAGCAGCTTTATTTATCACAGCCCTCAAATGCAAAAAAACAAAATATCCTTCAATAGGTACATGGTTAAACAATGTGGTACATCAAGACCATAGACTACAACTTAGCAATACAAAGGAATGAACTACTGATATATCTGATAACTTGGGAAGATCTCAAGGGCATTATGATGACCAGAGAAAGCTAATCTCAAAGGCGACATTGTATAATTCCATTTTTATAACACTCTTATGACAAAAATCATAGAGATGGAGAACAGATTAGTGGTTGCCAGGGATTGACCTGTGTGGGAACGGTGGGGTATGTGTGACTACAAAGAGGTAGTATGAAGGAGACCTTCACAATGATAGTTTGAGCTATGCACATACATTGTACCAATGTCAATACCCTGGTTGATATTGTACTATCGTAACATAAGATGAAAGTATTGGAGGAAACTAGGTTTAGGTTATAGGGGCCCTCTGTGTAATATTTCCGCAGCTTCCTATGAATCTACAATTATTTCAAAATAAAATGTTAAAAAACACACTTATATATACAAGGAAGTTCACAAGATAATGAAACACAGCCAATTTTATTCAAATTCTCCAAAACTTATACTCAATACGTTGTTTCTAAAATGCATATCACCCTTTATATAATGGTTTTATTACTTTATCTTTCCTTTATAGTTTTTTCCTTTTCTTTACAGTTCTTTAGTAGAAGCCAGAGTCTTGAGTTGCCCAGTTAGGAGCCTAAAATATACAAAAAGACAGGGTGAAAAAAAAAGTACTTTCTGAAAAAACTTTGAAAAAAGTGATACTAGAATTTCTTTTTAGCACTATTCCTGCCAAACCATCCTCTAAGACTTTAACAAACTCTGCAATTACTAAATGTCAGATGTTCCACTTAGAACAAAATAAACACACCAAAATACCATCTGATATTTTTGACGAATGATAAAGTATAGCAATGACAATTTCACCGTTATACCAAAAATCAATACAAACTGACACCAAATCATAAAAAAACCTGTTATACAAAGGTTGTTTTTCAGGCTCAGTTATTCTAGACTTGGCTGGAAAAGGCACTGACAGAAATTCCCTAACCCATCCTTCTCTTAAAACTGAAGGACTGTTCTAAGGACAGAAACCTGCTGCTAAACTTCAAATGAGGTCCTTGAATATTCCACAGCTGCTTCCTAAAAATGCCCCACCCTCCAGTCACACATGAATACAATGGCTAAAGAGTATTAACAGCGGTTTGGGATTCCAAAATACAAAGCTGTGCAAGCTCTTTTAATGTCTCATTCTTAGGATCTCTATCAAAAAGGGGGATATATATTTTTTGACATAGTTAAACAGATCTGATGGAAAAGAAACAGTTATAATACACTGGGAACACTTAATTTTTTTCAGTTTCCCTAACAAATGCATATAATACATCTAAGAAAAATAGCTTTCCATTTAGTAATCTCTTAAACGAAATGTTCATACCGCCAGCAAACAGAAATACAAAATCAGATACAACTCATACTATGTTCTGAAATTAAGTCCATGCAACAATTATATTATTGCTAAATCCCACAAAGAATAGAAAATATGTGGTTCTTACCTCTGACCTACTATTCTGATTAAGTTTCTTCTCAATATTCATGGCCAACATCTGGCTTCTAAATGAAAGGCTTTTCGTCTTTTCAATCACTTGCTGATAGGGTGAGACTGCATTGTTACCCATAACCACATGACCCTAAAATAAGACAGGAAAAGTGATCCTGTAGTGATCCCAGGTAAGTTACAAGCACTGCTGCATATATTTTTATGTATTATAGAGAGATGATATTTACCCAGTAACAAAAAAATAGGAGGTTTCTATTGCCTTCAAAGAACTATTAAAACAAAATAAATTCTTAATAAAGTGTCCTAATAAATATTCAGGAAAAGTATAAAATAACCAGCAACTGAAATCTAGTTATGCAGCATAGTTAACATAATACTCACTAATTTAGAATCAATCTTGGCATCCAGTCTTGCATTTCTAATCAAATTTACAATCCACCTTTCAGCCTCTTCTGGAGTCATGTTCAGTTTATCTGCCAACATGCTAATGAAAAAAGTAAAAAAAACATTAACTAAGTCTAAAAGACTAGGGTTCCACCAACTCTAGGTTGATTTTTCTATCGGGTTTTCAAAATTTAGACAGTCTCCCTCCCATACTGTGCCTCCCCACCCCCCAATGTATCTTAACAGATAAGGATCTGGGTTCCAGCAAGTCACATGCTTATTATATTACATCTTTAAATAATCTGGCTTTTCAAATTTTATTTGATAAGCACAGTATATTTCAAATACTACTGACTTTAGCACTAAGCTACGTGAACCTCTGGCCCGCTTTTTTTTAAATCCTCACCAGAGGATATGTAACAGTTTTTTGTTTGTTTGTTTTTTATTGATTTTAGAGAGAGAAGAAGGGGTGGGACAAAGAGAAACACTGATGTGAGAGAAGACACATCAGCTGGCTGCCTCCCGCATGCACCCCAACAGGGGATCAAATCTGCAACCTAAGTATGTGCCCTGACCAGGAATTGAACCCACAACCTTTTTTGGTGGAAGGGACGATGCTCCAACCAACTGAGCGACCCTACCAGGGCTCTGGCCTGCTTTTCACTGAAGAGTGTGGACAGAAATTTAGCATATCCAAAGTACTCCAGTCTTTTACAAGGGTAAGCTAAGACAACTAACTAAAGAATAAGTGTTAAGTGTAAACTGTGTTTTAACTGTAAGAGTAGAAGAAACTGGGAAATGATAAATGCTGTGTGACAACTTAAAATTTTCGATGAATTTCTCAACATCTCATTAGTCAAAAATAAGAGTACATATGTTTTATAGTTAACAAAGAAATACGAAATACAATAATGGCTTTTGAAACTATTTTCTCTGCATCTGGAAGCACACCTTTCTCTTTCTCGCTAATATTAGAAAGTATAATTATGAATATAAATTGCTATTTGGTAATAAGAACTTTAAAAAAATATTAAGATAAAATAACCAACGTAGGAATGACCTCATAACTTAAGGAAATGCAAGAGCAGTTGGCAAATATTTTGTGGAAAGCCTGAACTAACCCCCTATAGGGAAATTATATTAATGTATGCTCCAACATGTTTATCATACACATTCAAAATATTATTTCCATACTTTGTTTTTATCTACAATTGAAAACGGGTCCAAGAATTATTCTAGAACAGCTTTTAAATTTCAGACACACACCATATCCAATAAACTATTCAGCTATACTAAATTAAATCCCACCACAGCAATCTTTTTTGACATATGTTGCATATTTTACGGTAAACAGATTCGTAACTTATCCTACAAATCTACAGAGTTGTATATAAACTGATAAAAACATTCTTAATATGCATTTTAATAAAGATATGACTATAGCATGTGCCTACAGCCATTTAGTCAAGAAACTTATCAACAGAGAAATGTTCCAAATCATAAATCGAAAGAATTGCTTAATAAACAACCATGGGTTTTACAATACTATTCTATTTAGTATTTGAAATTTGTCCACTGGGGAAAAAAGGAGGCCAGAGACAAATCTGTCTCCTTCCCTGCAATAATAAAAAAAAAAAGACCAAATATCAAATAATTTAATTTAAAATTAAAGATAGGCAAACATAAACTAGTGAATGGAGTAATCTGTCATAATTAGTATATAGTGGAAATAAGACTACTTTGGGACTTAAAGATAAGCCATTCAGAGTTATCGGGGTTTACGAAAACTTTATTTCAAATTACTTCTCTGATTTTGCAATATACAAATTATGTCCATGTCATCCTAATTACCCTGTATTTTTCTTCAAAACATCTATCCATAGTTCATAATTTTATCTTTATTTAATATCTGTTTCTTTCTCTGGATTTTAAGCTCTGAGGGTGTGCTCCTTACTATCTTATCTACTCAATGCCTGGCCGGAAGAGTTGTTCCTTCATATTTGTAATATTTTCTTCTTCTTTTTTTAAAAAAAATATATCTTTATTGATTTCAGCGAGAGGAAAGGAGAGGGAGAGAGAGAGATGAAACATCAATGAGAGAGTCATTGATTGGCTGCAGCCCGAAAGCCGGGCATGTGCCCTGACCGGGAATCGAACCCTGATCGCCTGGATCCTAGGTCGATGCTCAACTGCTGAGCCATGCCCGGCCGGGCTGTAATATTTTCTTCTTGAACAACTGAAGCTCTGATTCCAGAGATTCTGATTCAGAAGGTCTAAGTGAAGACAAAAAAAATCTATTCTTTTTAAGTTTAAGTTGTTGTTTAAGTTCTTCAGATGATTTTGAGGTAGAGCTAGGTTTAAAAACCTCTGGATTAAAGAAGTTAATTTTTTTAAAAAATGTACTGTTTAAAGGTAAACATTAGATCAATAGATCATTATCTTGGAGTTTGCCCTATTCATAAAAACCCAACTTAAATGCTTAACATTATTTTCAGTCATATTCTTAATCCATTAAAAACATGAAAAGACCTATCCCCAGGACTGACTCCTACTGAATGAATGGCCCCTCACCTTTTCTTGACTCTTACAACCTGAGATCTCATTGTTGCTCTAAGAATATTTCCTTTTTCAGCTGAAGCTACACTTTCTGCTCTGCCTCTGCTTTCTTAATTTATTATATACTAATGGTATTAAACTGATTTTTCACTCCATTACTCTAGAACAGTGACTTTCAACCTTTTTCATCTCATGGCACACATAAACTATTTACTAAAATTCTGTGGCACACCAAAAAAATGTATTTTGTGCCGAACAAATAGGTATAATTTTGATCCATTCACATCAGACAGCTATTGCTGTGTTGGTTGTCATTTTTTAATTTGACAATCTAAGGAAAAAGAGGTCAGTGCCCCTGACTAAATAGTGAGGTATTGCAGGTTTTAAAAATTCTTGCAGCACACTGGTTGAAAACTGCTGCTCTAGCAGGTTGTAATTATGTGCCTAAAAAATTGCAACCTGATGCAGTGGTTCTCAATCCTGGATGTACCTTGGATCACCCATCCTTAAACTACAACATAGTAGCCCCATTACAGGTCACAGCACAGTATACTTAGGAAATCTGATCCAGAAAGTATGCGGTGGCTTCAGGGACTCTGTATTTGTAAAGTAAAACAAATAAAACTCTACAGACATTCTGAGACACACAGTTAAACGATGACTTAAGATTTCCATTTTTATTCTCTGGCTCAAGTAATACATTCATGACAAATTCATCTAAATCTGTTATTTCTAAAAATATCAATTGTTCACAATGAAAAAATAAAGGTTTCATATTGAGGTAAAATACAATGAATGTCAGAGACCTATTAGCCCAGGGTCCTTCATCAAATAAGACTTAACTAGCTTAAAGCCTGAGTCTTAAGTTTCCAGCTACATCAAGAAGGAATTGTACTGAATCAGTGTTTTGTAGAACTGTTTCCTGAACTGTTTCCAGGGTTCCAAAGAGGTGTCTTAGCAGCCAGGAGAGAAGCTGAATAAAGGTATATGCTAACCATGGTGAAGGAGCTCTATCTGATCTGCTTACACATGTACAATTAACTCATAAACAATAGGGGGGGTTAGGGGCAACAACCCTCTGGACAAAAATCTGCATATAACTTTTGACTCCCCCGAAAACGAGCTGACCAAACCCTTATCAATAAGTTGATTAATACATGTTATATGTACTAAATACTGTATTCTCAAAATAAACTAGAGAAAATGTTAAAAAAAATGTAAAATACTTTTACATTACTGTATTTATTGAAAAAAAAAATCTACATATAAGTGGACCAGTGCATTTCAAACCTGTGTTGTTCTAGGGTAACTGTACATAAATATATATATACTCATAGATATATAATATGGCATTTGAAAACAAGACCTACACACACACACACACACACAATTTAAAAATCATGGTTCTATAATTTGAAACCTGAGCCACATTTAAAGTGCTCAAAAGCCATATGTGGCCACTGGCTACCATACTGAGGAATGCAAAAATAAACCACTTCCATCACTATAGAGAAAGTTCTACTGAAAAGTTCTATTGTCAATAATTCAATAATTGTGCGTTGTTGGATTAGAAGCTCCCTATGATTTCTTCCAGCTCTAAAATTATTCCCTAATATTTAAAGAAAATGCATAAACCTATCTATTCAAAATCATCTTAGTAAAACATTCCATAGGTAGACAAAAGTGTTTAAACAATCTAAGTAAAATAAAAATACTATCACTGGAAGAGAGAAAAGATTTTTGGACTTTAGAAAAGACAACATACTGAATGAGAGAAGGTATACGCCAATCATACATCCAATAAGGGGTTATTATCCAAAATATATAAGAAACTCACACAACAGCAAAAACAAACAAACAATTCAATAAAAAAAAGTAGGCAGAGGACCTGAATAGACACTTCTCCAAAGAAGACATACAGCTAGCCAACAGACATGAAAAGATGTTCAATACCACTAATCATGAGGGAAATAAAAATTAAAACCACAATCAGATATCACCTCACACCTGCCAGAATGGCTATCATTAATAAATCAACAAACAAATACTGGCAAGGATGTGAAGAAAAAGGACCCTTGTGCACAGTTGGTGAGAATGCAGACTGGTGTAGCCACTGTGGAGAACAGTACGGAGGTTCCTCAAAACATTAAAAATAGTACTACCATATGATCCAGCAATCTCAATTCTGTGCATTTATCTGAAGAAATCCAAAACACAAATTCAAAAAGATATATGCACCCTATGTCCAATGCAGCATTATTTATAATAGCCAAGATATGGAAGCAACCCAAGTGTCCATCAACAGATAAATGGATAGAGATGTGGTACGTATATGCAATGACATATTATTCAGTCATAAAAAAGAATAAAATCTTATCATTTGCAACAATATGAATGGACTACGGACCTAGAGGATTATTATGCTAAGTGAAATAATAGAAAGGCAAATACCGTATGATTTCATTTATATGTGCAATCTAAAAAACAAAATAAATGAACAAAAAGTAACAAACTCAGATACAAAGAACAAACTGGTAGTCACTAGATGGGTGGGGGATTGGGAGGACCAGTGAAAAAGGTGACGAGATTAAGAAGTACAATTTGGGAGTTATAAAATAGTCACAGGAATGTAAAGTACAGCATAGAAAATACAGTCAATAATATTGTAATAACTACGTATGCTGTCATATAGGTACTAGATTTGTCGGAGTGATCACTTCGTAAGGCATACAAATGTCTAATCAGTATGTTGTACACTTGAAACTAATATAATATTGTATGCCAACTATAATTAAAAAACAAACAAAAAAAAAACACTAAAAAACTGCCCTGGCCGGTGTTGCCCAGTGGTTAGAGCATCAGCCCGTGCACCGAAGGGTCTTGGGTTCGATTCGCAAGGGCGCAAGGTGGATTGCAGGTTTGATCCCCAGCCCTGGTTGGGGCATGTGCGGGAGGCAACCAATCAATGTTTCTCTTTCTCTCTCTCTCCCGTCCTTTCCCCTCCCTTCTACTTTATCTAAAAATGAATAGAAAAAATATCCTTGGGTGAGGATTAACAAAAACAAATTTAAAAATATACACACATATAAAAAAAACTATACTGACTTAAGTTTAAAAAATTCTTAGTTAATGATAATGTCACATACAAGTTTATAGAAGCAGTCCCACTATATTACCTTATTTAAGCTGCACATCTCTCTTAAGTAGATAAGACAAATACTTTATTTTGTCCTATCTACTTAAGATAAGGTAAGGGTGGTAAACTGAATCCTAAGAAGCAAAATAATGAACACAAGGTCCCAGAGTTAATAAAAAAAGCTAAAACTGGAACAAACTTTCTTACTCATGGTACCCTCAAAGCATAACAAAGCACTGGCATGGACAAACAAAATGAACTCATTAATACAAAGAAAATAAATTTATTCATTCAACAAATATTTATGAGCACCTATACTGTACAAAGTTAGTATACTGGGTGCTAAAGATATAAAAAGGAGGATCTGCTTTAAAAAAACAAAACCAAAAAACCCCAAGTGACCAAATTCTAATTAAATATGGGGAAATTTCAACAAGGGAAATAAAAATATTAGTATCCCTCTTTCACAAGCCCAATTATAAATCTTAAAAGAAAAAAGAAAAAAAGCAATGCTAGCATTCAAGTATTTTCCACCAGAGTCCCACATAGAGGTGACACCTATCTATTTCACAACCACAACATACTAGGAATTTGCATGTATTCTTTTTTTTTTTTTAAATGTATCTTTATTGATTTCAGAGAGAGGAAGGANTTTTTTCTTTTTTTTAAATGTATCTTTATTGATTTCAGAGAGAGGAAGGAAGAGGGGGAGAGACAGAGAGAGAAACATCAATGATGAGAGAGTCATTGATTGGCTGCAGCCCACAACCCGGACATGTGCCCTGACCGGGAATCGAACCCTGATCGCCTGGATCCTAGGTCGATGCTCAACCGCTGAGCCACACCCGGCCGGGCTGTATGTATTCTTTAAGAGAATCAGATTTTTAAAATTATAGGTCTGCTGCCTGGCCAGCATGGCTCAGCGGTTGAGCACTGACCTATGATCCAGGAGATCATGGTTCAATTCCCGGTCAGGGCACAAACCCAGGTTGTGGGCTCGATCCCCAGTAGGGGGCGTGCTGGAGGCAGCTGATCAATGACTCTCTCTCATCATTGTTGTTTCTCTCTCTCTCTCTCTCTTCCTCTCCCTTCCACTCTCTGAAATCAATAAAAAACATATTTTTAAAAAAAATTATAGGTCTGCTAACTACAGTAAAGTACTAAAAAACTGAGGTCAAGGCTTTAATTTCCATAGGAAAAACCTCATGATCCCACTGTACTTCTAGCTCTGAATAACCACTTAGTGACAGCCCACTAAAATCAGGCAAGCAAATATGGATGCCTTAGCAAAAACAAATGTCACTAAAGAAAAACTTTGGTCTACACACAATTCCTAAGAGGCAAACATTAAAGTAGTAGGTTTTTAAATATTTATGGAGTATTTACTGTTTGACTTCATCTGTGGCCAAAGGGCATTGGTTATTTTTCAAATTCTAACATGTAAAATTAGTTTCTAATAGGTTATGTAAGTTTCACATTTTTCCCCAATACTTTTCTCACACAATAGAGAACATTTCAACTAAAATTCACCATAATTTTTCCATGTTTCAACATTTTAAGATGTCATTGGAGTTTGCTATATAAGAATTCAAATATATAATCAAATAAAACAAACTCAATTAACTGAAATGATTACCAAATGTGGTCTTTCAAGAATATTTCCGATTAAAGACTAAATCCTTATTTGAACTCCTGTTGAAACCATTCTAAAACTGTATACTTCTCTTTTCTTCCTACTAACACTACAATAGTGTTTTTTAAAAAGTAACTGACAATCATATTGCCTTGAAGTTATCATTTTCAAAGATCATGTTGTGCCACACACAGAAGCTACAGATATTTTTGAGTCTGTAGCAACCCAGAATTCAAACAAAAGTAAGAATTTTTAATAAATCTCTATCAGACTGTTTCCTTTTTCTTCTAAAGCAAAGGGAAATAAAATTCAATTAACTAGAATCCTATTAAGTGTAACTTTACAATAAATGGAAATCTCTAGGAATTTAAAAGTATAAAATACAAATCAAATCAGGATGTTCTTACTTAATGCTGATACACTGGTGGATGCGACAAAAAGTCTCAAATATGAAGAGACGTGCATTTTCAATAAAATCCTCAAGACAAGCCACCAAGAAGAAGTCATTTACAAGCACCTATGTGTATAAAATACAAAAGAAAAAAAATTAATGGCACTGATAAGCAATTTTAACTTGACTCAAGACTTTCGGTGCCTTACTCACTATATTCCATTCAAATTCTCTCATCTAGTATCACAAGTTCTACACCACAGCACTTTCTAGCACACTATATTGAAGCTTCTAATAACGTAAACAAGTAAACAAATGCTACAAGAAAAAGACCTAAGAACAGCAATGTTTCCTTGTTCCACTGATGATGTGAAGAATCTTGACAAAGTAACTTTGTCCTGTCTATTATCCTACATAACTGCACTGTAGATAGCGTATCTTTTACAGCTATTTTGAATAGCTATGAATGGAGTAAAGATATGCCTATTTCTTGATAGTAAGTAGACTGGGAAATCTTTTACAAAGAAAAAAAATTCAAGGGGTGGCTCCTATTCCACAGATGGTATCATAATTAAGAGAACATTTTAACTTCAAAAATAGCAACCAAGTGTTCCTCTGTCTTAGCAAGGCCTAGATACTTAGTATAACAGATATACACCAATATTTAATAATGCCATATGACATGTTAGTAATACCGATGACTACATGAACACATACTACACTGGACTATAAAATTTTGTCCAAAGTTCGAAAATCACTTCAGAAGGTATATCTACATGATAATTTTCTCTTTCTTAGAGAAATGAGATCTTAGTCCTTCAATATATTTGGTCCATTTTTGAGCTAATGTGTGGGCTCAAAACTAAAATTGACAAACAGTCATTTGTGGATTTGGTAAATGTATTTAACAGGTAAATTCTTAATTTGTTAAAACTTCAAAACTAACTTAATTTAAAAAGCCATAAATTTAACTTGTTCAGCTGCTCTTAAAGTACTTTAGTTTCCACTAACCAAGAGAAGACATGGTAGTTATGAAAATCACACTTTTGGTTTGACTGGTTTATAACAAATGTTAAATATAATGTGAAAAATTTCTAAAAATAGGCCCACTTATAAAACAAATTGAGAATTACAGTTGTGATATGCAATTCCAAACAATCTTGCCCATACATATTAAATATTGCACATATTTACCCAATGAGCATAAGACATGGAATTATGGGTGTATATGTGAATTTATAATACATTCAATGTTTAACAAACTGTCCTAACTAAAAGGGTACACAAATGGCAACAACATTAAAAACATCTTCATCCCAGCACATTTCTAAAATTAATATACACTTTAAGATTAATATACATTTCTGACATAATTACTTTAATAAAACACTACAAGGTTAGTTCTTACAATATGTAAAAATTTAAGAATGCTAATTTATAAGTAAAAATTCATACTTACAGATTCACATTCCCTCAGCTTTTTCTGAGCCCCATCAAAGTCAAAGTTAACATATAAACATTCAACAAACTCTGTAATTGGGTCTTTGTATGTGTAAGACTCCTGTAAAATAAAGTCAAAGGTCAAACTGGATCTAATTCAACACTGTTTAGAAGATTGCCCCTAGAATATCCCAATCTTCCTATTTTCTCCTCCCTTACCATTAATTTCTAGCAAATTACCTAGCATTTATCTTCTCAAAGCAATTGCTCATATCCTGATTCCAGGCACACCTTAAGCTTTTAATGCCTTCCAGACCAAGTTCTCTAAATTCTCATCCTAGAACTATTCCACAAGCTTTCAAATTCCTCTACTGCCAAAAGTATCCCTTAATAAACAGTGATGAAGGTATTTATACCCTACTGAATGAAACTGTCTTTTTGAATTTAATTTATTCTTATAGCAAATAAATAAGTTCTTTTCTAACCCAGTTATTGCTGAGAAACTCACTCACTAAATGAGCCAGTAGAGCTGCAGCTTTTGTACAACTTGGAAACTACTACTATTATATTCTATGTAAAGGTCACTACTCTGGGATTATGCATATTGACCTCCCAACAAACAGTTCTAGGCTCCAGATCTCCTTCACTCTTTGCAATAAGAGCAACACTAATATACAATGTATATTAAATATCCACCTAGCAGAAAGCAGTACTCATTCATACCACATCTAACATAAGTATATCTTAAACTTAAAGATAATAAATGTCCATTTGGGGCTCTTGGGATTTTGTCTCTTCATATATACTTTCCTCCTATTTTTAAAACATCTTTACCTTAAGAAGTAAGAGTAGTAAAAGGTTAAACCTAAAGTTCAGGAATGTTTAAAAAAAAAGAAAAATCAATATAGACTTTAGGTTTTACCTGTTGAATAACTTTGACTAGATCTTTTAGCACCTGCCGGCGTTTTCGAACATCTTTGTTTGTTATAACTGCTGTAGTCAAATAGCGAAGAATATGTGGACACATCGTCTGAATTGCATTAAGATACCTAAGGTAAAAATATAAAGGCTATTTAATATTACTAACTTACCCACGTTTTCTAGACCTATAATCACATATTAAGTGTTTAAAGAAAACACTCAAACAGCCCCCAATTTTTATCCAATACGCACTATGACAAGTTTGGAAATATCTGTCAGTAAAGCCCATTTCTCTTAGCTGAATATTCAAGAACCAAAGTACACATCCAGCTCCAGCTCCCACCAAACCATCATTGACTGCTTCCTGCTTTCCTTCCTTACACCTCACTCCACATGAACTGGTCTCCCAAATGCAAACCTCTTAAATTCTAGCCATCCCTCAAGGTCAACCTCAGATACCTCATCTTCCAAATTGCCCTAGACTATAATATTAATAAATCTTTATATTTTATTATTGAAGATTCCCCATAAAACATTGTTTGAACTCTTTAAAAGGACCCTAGAACCTGACAATAACTCAACACAATATCTAGTCTTACCCCCCCCCCCC